AAAAGAAAAGAAAAGAAAAGAAAAGAAAAGAAAAGAAAAGAAAAGAAAAGAAAAGAAAAGAAAAGAAAAGAAAAGAAAAGAAAAGAAAAGAAAAGGAGGCATTTGTACCTGCATAAGGCTGATCCAAACTTGAGAAGGTAGAGTCCAGACCTGGAGAGCTGGGCATGTCACAAAGCCCGTTTAATTCACAACTCCCCATAAACAGAAAGAGAGCAGTGAGAGAGGAGTAAAGCAGTTCCCTGCTGGAGCTGAACCAAAACTCTGAGATGTCCAAGCTCTTTGCTATCAGTCCACAAGCCTTTTAAAGCCTCTCTTTTGTCTCCTAGGCATTGCTGCCAACAGCCATGAGGTCACTTTGACTATTTCTGTCTTCATAGCTTCATCACTGAACAGTGTGACAGACATTGTCACCTGGCACTTAAGCACCCTTATTCTTTCCTACACTCTGTACTCCCTCTGAGGAGAAACTTCTCTATTTTAAAATAAGAACCTATACTATATATTCTCACAGCTTCTGTGGTGTAAGCCTCCGGTTAGGAAGGTGCAAACTTCAGTGTTACCAATGCCTTCCTATCCAGCATTTCTGCGCCAAAGAACCCTTCAAAAAGATGAAACTGAAGCAGTGTGCATGTCCAACATGGATAAGCAGAAGAAAACTGAACAGGAGGAAAACAACTTTCCATGCCTGAAACCATCAGAGAGCACYCAGCTCCAGGTAAATATTAAAAAGAAAAGAGAGAGCAGAGGCTTTCATTTCCTGTGTATATCAATTTTCTTCCATGTCTGAGGAGAACCAGTCCATGGTTCAGGTTTCTGTTGTGTACAAGACTGAGGAACATTTAACAGAGGAGCATTAGGACCCTGGATGCCTTCAGTGAAGTTGTTTAGTTGAATTAAAACAGCAGAGGCTGATACCTACACTGAAAGCATGGCTGTGCCCAAGGAGGGTGATGAGGTGTTTGGAACCCAGGGAGTGGTGTTTTGGCAGCACCATTCAGAGCTCCAGGACTGGAGACTGAGAGGTGTTGAAGGATGAGATGCTGATAGTGAGGACTGTGGAGGATGGGAAGGAAAGGAATGGATGGTGCTGGGAATCTGCAAATCTCTGCAGCTGTGGCCTGCTCAGCATCTCTTCACACTTTGTCCAGCTCCTGTCTTACTGCTCCTTTCTGTATTCAGGCAATAGCTCCTGTGAGACAATCCCAGAGCAGTGGCCAAGGACACTGTCCCATAAATCTCCCTCCCAGCAGCCCCAGCCTCAGCAACTCTTGTAGCTTTGTCAGACCATCTCCAGTGTTAGAGGGTCTGGAAAAATGAAGGTCTGGCCATGTCTCCTGAAATCCAGTAGCCATTGCTGCACACCAAGAAGACAACTCCCACAAGGCAACACTGCTGTAGAGAGACGTGTCATGTCTCATGCAGAGGCTCTTAGAGCAAGAGCAATGAAAGTGGTTCAGTGTCTTCTTTGAAGAATATTTACATGTATAGGGATATAGTCTCTTTGGGGAAATCTTGTAATCGTGATACATACTATTGGAATGAAAGTACAGCTCTGTCTTTAGAACATACAAATGGAATAGATAACAGGAAAAGGAAGGATTGTAAAATGCTCATAAATTCTATTGGTGTGATGAATAATTTCTATGGAAATTTTTTTGTTAAGTTCTAAAGCACGTATTTCATGTACACACTGAATTCTGTTGGAAAAAATCCTCAAAAAGGAAAAAACTCTATTAAGCAAAGAAGATTTTCTTCTTCATTTAACTACATTTCCCTGAAGTGAAATTACTTTTGTTACTAATTACAGTAAAGAGAAGTGTAAAAAATATAAATCTTTTCAAGAATGGGCCTTATTAAAAGAAAACATTTTAATCTATGCCCAGGTAAGCTGCTGAACAAGCAGACTTACCTGATGTTAGATACTGTTCATGTTCACTAGGAAACAGTGGTAAATTTTATTACCAAGGTCAAATTCTAGAAAAGCCATTACTATAGAAAATAAGCACCCTGCTGTATCCAGAGATAAAGAGCCTGTTCCTCTCTGAAATGCTACTAGTCAACTGCTTTTCTCAGATGAGGTCACCTAGAATTTTGTTCTTCCAGCTATTTATGTTAGACAAGGTCATTTTTCCATGGCTAATGTTGCAAATATCTCAGTATGTCATTAGAGGCTATAGACGTCTCATACTTTTCATACCTGGAGTCCTTTCAAAATAAGATTTGGATAGGTTATATTGACCTTCTAAGTATTTCCCTGTTGAAAGGTTCAACCTTTAAAGCTTTGATCAGTATGTAAATTGCAAACAGTTAAGCAGAGTATATATTCTTTTACTGCAAAGTAAAGGTAAAACTCTTGGGATAGCAAATGTTTCTCATTCTTGGATATTTGCACTCTTCCAACACATAACCTATGCATAATATAAAACATAGATATGGCTTCAGCTCCAGTTTAGGAAGCTACAGTCCTACTCAAGTCAGCAACACTTCAGCACGTATCTGAGGTTAAATAGTTAAATACTTGTCAAACCAGTGTTTCTTCTTAAATGGCTAGTAATTTTAAGAGTGCCAGTGAGGCACTGC